AGCCTAATCCGCAAACCCTAAACCCTAAACCCTAAAGCCTAAACCCTAAATTTTAAACCCCCAAAGTATGGGAAGACTGGAAGCTCGAGGCTACTGGGTTGTTTCGGCCTTGGCGGCTTTCCATCCTCCTGGGGCCTTTCGGAGTTCGCGCTGCTGCTCTCGGGTATCCTGGCAGCTTCGGATTCATTGCTTAGGGGATTCATTGCTTAGGGGGTTTAGGGGTTAGGGGGGCTTAGGCTTAGGATTTAGTATTTAGGGCTCAGATTTTGAATGTTCAGGACCTATAGGATTTAGAGCTTTGGTGCTGCATTGCCGCTCGGCATGAGCGGCCCGCGGGAGAGGAATTTTGAGCATTGGCGCAATCAATGCAAAGTCGCATTTTAGATTCTTCTCTGGCTTTCAGGCAGCTAAAGCAATGGATTTTATTTACTCTGGTCCAGGTTGCATGCAAGTTTCACAGGGTTGCAGGCTGGAGGAGCTTTCTGCATACATCTCCTGCACCCTGGACCGTAAACTGTCTGGCCGGCTCATTTGCTTAAGCCGCAGCAGGCGTTCATCCAACGTTTGGGCACTTCAAAGCTACGAATGAATTCTAATCAGTCGCCATCCAGGCTAACATCTCACGTGAAACCCATCAAGCACAGAAAGTCTCAACATAAATCATTGTGGAAGACATCTCCGCAACCATGGCTCTTTGGGAGATTCTACATTCTGAGAACTTTTGGCAAAAGACAACAACAAGTCCTTCTTTCTTAGCTCTAAAACCCGCAGCAGTGAAGCCCAAGCCTAAGTCATAGTTTCTGCATCCTACATCCCGAGCCCCACGCCCTAGCCTGTCCACACTACGGCCCAAGTCCTGAACATTATGCTGCCAGCCTCGCACTCTAAGCCCAGCACCATCCCTAAGGAGATAAAACTTATAGCTTAGAAGCCCATGATGTGTTGTTGATGGATGGAACCCGGCATGACCCTACGTATGCTGTACTGCCAGGTTCACCCCTACAGGGGCAGAAAGGTTATAGGGGTTTGGGGGTAATAGAAAAGAAGGTTGAAACTACTAGAATATATTGGGGTTACATGGGGATAATGGATAATAGAATGAGAGTACTATTTAGGGTTTAGGGTTTGGGGCTTAGGGTTTAGGCCACTGGAGTCATGCAGATTTTGTGCCATCTGTTGCCTAAAAGCCGAGCTTACAGTCGACCTGCTTGAACAGCAATGCAAGCCTTGAATCCCAAACCCCAGCCCTTCTAAATTAAGCTTAGGGCTTAGATTTCACCCCCCAGGCTTCTAAATTCTCTTACTTTGATCAGTTTTTTCTTCACTAAATTCTTACACCCTGAGCTTGCAGCCGTGAAAAGTTTGGACAGGCCTTGTTTGCGCAATCGTCTCCCTCCTGGCGCAGAAGTCAAACACCGCCATCTCTGACGGGGGAGGCCGCAGTCTCGTAGGACCGTACGGGTTTAGGGTTTAGGGTTTCAAAAAATTTGGGTTGCTCATTTTTGGGGCCAACGTTCACAATGAGGCTTACTTTATTGTAAGTGCGGTAATTATCCAAAGAACAGGCCTTTTTTGGAAGGATCATCTGGGCACCCACAGTCTTGTAAAAATGGCACACCGCAGTCTTGTCATTACAGTGGCTTGAAGTACCAGAGTCTGTAACGGCTCAGAGACTTCACTCCCCAAACCTAGAGTTTAGGGTTTAGGATTCAGGGTTTAGGGTTTAGGGTCTGAATCCTCCATCCCTAGCCCTGCCCTGCCGCCTGGACTTCATTGATTTGGCGCGGTATATTAGCCCTACATGGGTACCCCGAGCGGCATGCCATGCCCGAAAAGCCTGGAGCTCATTGGTTCGAACCCCCCCTGTCCCCCTGTAAAATGTTATCTCCTGCGCACTGGTCACAGCATAGAGAACCGCGCGACCTTAAGGAAAGCCCTTGTAACCCTCAATCCACTAGGCCTGGAGTCTGAAGTCCAAAGCCATACATCCTACGTTCAAGAGGCCTGAATCCCTCCAAAAGGCTTGAGCTCATGCCAATCTCCAAGAGGCCTTGGGTTCCTTGTAGGGATAGTGGGAAAGAAAATGGAAACTGCTATAGTACATTGGGGGTTCCGTAGGGATAATGCAACAGAACATGGAAACTACTAGTATATAGGGTATAGAAGGTATTCTAGATTTTTTGTTTTGGTTCTGATTCTTTTGTTCTGTGTATGTACCAGACGCGAAGCTTGATACAAATAGGTAAGAAACCATCACTTTGGAAACTACAGCTCTGTGCCGTAAGGAAATCTGGACAGTACCTGTATGTCTACATATGTATATGTATTCCCGTATAAGAACCCCTACATTCACTACTCCACTCCCCTAAAACCACTGAACCCTGAGTAATATAGCAACTCTCTTTCTCACTACCCCTAAACCCTAAACCCTAAATCCTAAATCCTAAACCTTAAACCAAACCCTAAAACCCTACACCCAAAACCCAAAAACCCTTAAACCAAACCCACTAAACCCTAAACCCCAAAACCCTAAACCAAACCCACTATACCCTAAACCCTAAGCACCAGTAAGCCGGAAGGCCTGGAGTTCATCCTGGGAGTTGGCATTTGCCTCCTTTCTGATGTGGCAGCTGCCGTCAATGTGGCTGGGCCTTTCCTTGGATAAGGGTTTTGGGATTTAGGGTTTAGGGTTAAGGGATTTAGGGTTTAGGGTTTAGAGTTTAGGGTTTAGGGTCTAGGGTTTAGGGATTAGGGTTTAGGGATTAGGGTTTAAGTTTGGGTA